CCGTCTCCGCCCCAGCCGGCCCATCCATCCCGCAATGGAACTGACCTCCTGCAAATCAGCGTACCGCCGCGGACTGACGCGGAGTGGAGCCACGCCAGGGCGTCTGGCGCCCTGATGGCTCGCGTTGGGCCGGGCGCTGGCCAAGCCGACAGCAGCCATTGTCAACATGCCAGCACGAGCCATTGTCCCAGACGTATGTTGCAGGCTGCAAGCAAACATTGCTGCCTTTCGTCTGGCGCGCCCGTGTGCTGCCGGGTGTTGCCTTGCGCTGTTAAACGCAGCGGTTTAAAGGAGGCGGCTTGCCGGCGGTGTCCTCCGCCCGTTCTGATGGACGTTGCGTTACGTTCATGTCGTTAGGTTGCGTGTCGTTGTCATTTCTGATCCGGCTCGACACGGCGCTGGCCGGCCTCATCCGCCGACTAGGGCTCCGCTGTTGTAATGGTACGTCCGGCCAGAGCGCGCCGCGTTACCACCACGTCCGGGCCTAACCCGTTCCAAGTACCGGGTCTGATCCTTGTTGGCCTGTTATAGCACGTGACCTGATCCTGATTGACCTGTAACAGTACGTCATCTGACCTCTGGTTGACCTATCACAACGCGTAACCTGACCCCTGGTTGGCTTGTTGCAGCGTGTGGCCTGGTCTCTAGTTGGCCTGCCATTACGTGACCTGGCCTCTGGTTGACCTCTTCAGGCTGTGGCCTGACCTCTGGTTGAGCTGTTATGGTGTGTGACCGGAGCTAGTTGAGCTGTTTGGGACGTGATCCTGACCTACGGTTTCAACCTGTTAGCAATAGGTGATTGACCTGCTTGTGGTCGCGCAGGACGTGACCTGACCTATGGTTGATCTGTTACAGTACGTGATCGACCTGCTCGTGACGCGGGATGGCGCCGGAGCCCCCCGCGTCTACGAGGGCTGTTCCGCCCTGCGCATGGTCAACACTCGGAGACGCGCCAGGTCTGCTGGCTTCACCAGAACTACGCCCATGTTCGAGGTACTCTCCCGATGTTGACTCGCGCGCACCTGTACGCGCTATGTATGTTTTCTCCGGTGTCTGTGCCACCGCGCAGTTGTTTATGGCTCGTGCTGCCTAGCATGTCGCTGGGTCCGTGCCGTGTCGAACAAGATGCAGTACATCGTCAGAGGTCGGGCTGGGGGCCGGTGGCGCGCTGCCTACAAACGGCCTTCTGTGAGCTTACCGGCTTCCAACGGCCTGGGTGTCGGCGTCGTAGTTACATGCCCGCAGCGATAATACGTCAGCGGCGCGATTCGGTGGCTCGGTGCTACCCTGCTGTGTGCTCGGGTTTGGCCGCATTTTGAGACGTTTGGTGTTGACTGTGTGTCGACCTGATTGCTTGATGATGTGATGGCCTTCAGGGTTTTTCCCTCTTAAGACGGGTTTGTTTCGTATCAGTTTTTTCTCAAACATCGTTAGCGATGAGAACAAGGTCGTCCCTATGGCGAACGCTCAAGCTGAACCATATAAACTCAGTGCTTGTTCAAATGTTTGACTGCATCAAGGCGGCGGTCTTTTAACATTCGATGGCGTCCTAGTAAGCGCATACTGGGACTGGGAGCTTCACGTGGCACGTGTCGACGGTGACGTGCCGTCCCGTGCTGTCGGTTAGGGTCGTGACGTGGTGCCGCGCCGTGCTGTCGGTTAGGATCGTGGCGTGACGGTAGTCTGACGCGGGAGACCAGAGTACCTGAGCACACGCCAACAAACGACGCGCCTTTTACTGCAGGTGCTGGAGAAGCAGGAGGGCAACGCAGACCTTTGGCGGTTCGAGCTGCTGTGTGCGCTAACCTGCCGTCTGACCTACACGTGCTCTACGAAAAGGACAGGGTCCACCTTCCACTTCTACTACCAGCAGGTATCGGCTGCAGCGTCCGATCGGGGTTGAGCGCCGCCCTGGAAGTGAGGTTTTATCGGCTCTTTTATCGGCACGGGAATAAATCTTCTTACGCGGAAACTGGCGTTACCTTAGAGGACTGAGGTTTCGTCGGGTGCCAGGGTAATCACTGATCGCCACGTGATTGGTATGTGAAGCTCATCGATCACCGCTGTGAGTAAGACGAGCTTTCACATCGATCACAATCACGAGCCTTTGATCACAAGCGCCGGACGTTTCTGAGTCTTCATGGTCCGACGCCTAGCGGCAATAACAGCAGGCCGCACTGCTGCCAGCCCCTGCAGGACCACACATTTGCGAATTCAGTTTTCATTTTGCTCCTGTAGTTAGCGACAGAACTGGGATAGCCTCCCCCCCCCCCCCCCCCGCTTCCCCCATGTCTTATCGCGCTCGCGGGCACGTTGGCGGCGCCGCGCGTGAGCCATGTCCTGATCGCGGGGGAGATACCGCGGCCGCGCCGCTCACAGGCGCGGAGAAATAAAGCCTCCAGTCTCGCGCGCCGCCCTTGGCCGTATCGAGCGCGCGGCGAGCCGGCCGCAGCCGCCGCCGGTCCCAGCGGCGCCGTTCTTGGTGGCGTCCCTTGCGAGCAGCCCGACGGCCCCGAAATTGATGGCCGCCGGCCGGCCGGGCCGTTCCGCGCGCCCGCGCGCGCGCGTGGCTGGAGCTGACCTTTAGCCGGCGGTGGATGGGCCGCTCGACCCGCCTAAGTGCCACCGGAGCGGCCCGGATGAGCCATGGCCGCCGCCCGTTTGGCTGCCTGCTGCAGCGGCGCCGGACATCAGAGTTGGCCGCCGATGGGCAGGCGAGCGCCGCGGCCGGCTGTGGCGCGTCGGTGTCTCACCCCTGGCACTTGTGGCGCTTCGCTGGGAGGGCGCCGCGCTGGCGTGGCTGTGCGCTTCGGCGCTGTCTGCGGCGCGTCTTGGAGCTGTCTCGTTAGGAGCGGGCTGCGGTGTCTTGGTGCGTTCTAGCGTGAAGCACCGGGGTCCAGCTCTGCCCCGCCCTGCGTCCGTTCGGGGCTGCGGTCCCCCTCGGCTCGTCGGCGCGGCGTTCCTGCTCGCTATGGTGACCTCCGGGAGAATGGGAGGGGGGTCATGTCGCGTCGGGGGGCCGTGACCTGAACCACAGCGTCAGCCGGGTCAGCAGGGCCGCCTCCGTTCGGACACAGCCCGTGAGATCGCACGAGCTCCACGACGACCGTGGCCTCCGCGCTGCTCAGCGCTCAGGCTTCTCCACAGCGTCTGCTGGCTGGGCTGGTGTTGGCCGTCGAACCCGTGCGGGATTATTGAGCGGCGTCTGGGTAATCGCCTGCGGCCGGGTGCCCATTGCGTCTCGGGGATAAGCTTCCCAAAACGGGCGCGATTAGGCCGGTGTGGTTCCTGTCATGTTAGTGTGCAGTCGCTTCGCCCCGGCTCGCGCGGGCCAGCTCAGCGCTAGTCTTCAGGATTTGCACAGCTGCCTTGAGCGGGATGTTGTCACTGTTTGCTCTTCACGGGTACGTCCGCGGACGGTAAACGGCCCGAGTGAGGGGACACAGTCTTTGGAATGTTCAAACGCGCGGTCCGGAAGGGATGTTTTGGTCAGAAAGTGCATCGCTGTACCCCGGCTCGAGTAGAAGTTGTCAACGGCGCCATGTCGGTTACAGGTGTCAGTGATTTTTTTTTTATTGTAGCCTGCGTGACTGGGCGTCTAGCACAGGCACGCGGCAGCTGTAGGCTGTTAAGGCCGACCCCACAGTCTGTAAGCCAGTCCTGTCCAGTCCAGTCTAAAGAACGCCTGTCCCGTTCGGGGCCGTGTCTGTTACGGGAGCCGTGTGGTCGTACCGTAGCGTACAGTCGTGCGTGCGGTGTGTGTGACGGAATCGGCCCCCGCGCCGCCGGACGCGAGGCCTCCGCAGTCTGTGTGAGCCAGCGACGTCATCGCTGCGGCCCGGTGTGAGCCAGTGACGTCATCGCTGTGTGCCAGCCGACGCAGCGGTCAGGGGCGCCGGTGACCGACGCCCACTGCGTGTTCCAGGTGCGGGACGACTACCTGAGTCAGGAGCGCTGCCCGGTGGAGCAGGACATGGCCGTCCAGCTGGGCTGCCTCGACATCCGCCGCTTCTTCAAGGACCTGCCGGCCCAACGCGCTCGACAAGCGCTCCAACATGGACTACCTCGAACAGACAGTGGGCTGGGAGAAGTTCCTGCCGAGGTCCGTGATCGCAAACACTAGCCAAAGACGCTTCGCAAGCTGGTGCAGCACCAGTTCAAAAGTGCAGCCCACATGAGCGAACCCGAGTGCATGTTCAAGTACCTGGAAGTGCTGAAGACGGTGGTGCGGTTTCGACCAGGATGCGGTTCACACCTGCGCGCTGGGGGTGAGTCGGCCGACGGCCGCGGTGCTGCCGGTGCAGCTGGCGTCGATGCCGGGAAGGGCAGGGGCTCTGGCGGGGGGGACTGCAGCGCTTGGCTGTGTGGGACTCCAGTGCCGAGGTGCTGTGCGACCGCTGCCCGGCCGCTGTCCGCACCGCTGCTGTTGAGCGTGGACTGGCTATGAGCGTGGACTGTTGGCGGCAGGGTCGGTTTCATTGAGATGGTTGTGTGAGATTCATATGCGGATGTGTATGTATTGTGCGTGCGTGCGTGCGTGCGTGCGTGCGTGCGTCGGACGCCGCTGGCAGTGGCGCCCGCTGTGGAGGCCGGACGTCCTGAATTGGTGTGGCACGCGCGTGGCGGGTCTGTCGCCGGGAAGTGTGACGTTATGCTGTGGTGAAAGCCCCAGGATGCCGGCTAAGTGGGCATCCGGCGCGGTGAAGTGGGCCTTGACGGCCGTGCTGGCGTGTGGGCGTGTCCTCGGGACGGCGGTGGCCGGAGGCGATCGGCCGGTCCGGTCTGTAACCGCGATGGTCGCGTCTCCTGTCCAGTGTCGGCTGTCCAGTGTGCGGCCCGTGCCGGCCAGTGTCGTGCTTGGCGCTAAGGTGTCCAGTCCATGCCGGCCGGTGCTGTGGTGACTGGTGCTGAGGTGTCCAGGCCGTGCCGGCCGGTGCCGTGACTGGTGCTGAGGTGTGCAGTCCGTGGCGGCCGATGGCCGCTATCCGCTAGCTGGTGCCGTGGCGACTGGTGCTGAGGTGTCCAGACCATGCCGGCCGGTGCCGTGGTGACTGGTGCTGAGGTGTCCGGTCCGTGCCGGCTGGTGCCGCGGTGACTGGTGCTGAGGTGAGCAGTCCGTGCCGGCCGATGGCCGCCGTCCGCTGGCTGGTGCCGTGGCGTGCGCCGGCTCTGTCCCGATTGGTCAGCGCTGGGCTGCCGCCGGTCGGCGCCCGCCGCGCCATGCGTCGCTCTGTGCGCACACCAGCCGGCGCGGTCCCATGCGCGTCGCGTGCACCTTGTCGCCGGCGCCGTCCGCCGCTGACGTCACGACCGCGGCGTGTTTTGTCCGCTCGGCTGCGCCGCGTCCGGCACCACAATATCCAGCCGTCGGGCCGATTTTCCCGCCGCCGCTCCGTCCCGCTGGCCGCCGGCTGCGGTGTGGGCCAGTGGCTGGCCGTCCACGGCCGGCAGAGGCCGGACTGGGGCTGCTTACCCGCCGTGCTGGTGGGCGCGTCTTCGGTCGACGGTGCCGGGTGAAGTGAGCGGTGCGCGGGCTCTCGGTCGGTGCGGGCGCGTCCCCGTCCGGGTGTGGTCAAGTGTCTGTGTACGCCTGTGTGTGACTGGTGCGAGTCGGCGTGTGTTGCCCGCGTGTTATGTCGCCGTCTTGTGTGGCCGGACGTGTCGTGGACACGCGGTGTGCCTCAGTCGCCCGCTCCCACAGCCGCCCTGGCATGTGTCTCTGTACCCAAAGCCGTGTCCAGCTTCAGTGCGGTCGGGACGAGCTTTGTGCTCACGGCTATCGCCTATCTAAATCCATCGGTGCCCGACGGCGCGCCTCGCCCGCCCGGCGGCGCTGCTCGCCGTCGTCTCCCCACAGCCGCATCGGCGGAGGCCGGCCGTCGCTGCCGTCCCTGTGGGGGATGGGCGGGAGCGGCGCCGGCCGCGTGACCCCGTGACCCCGACACCGTCCAGCATCGAGCCCTCGCAGACGGCCGCCGCCGACGGCAGTACGCGCTGGCTGTCGCCTCGCGCCCGGGTGCGCGTCGGTTTTCCTGCCAATAAGCGCGCGCCGCCGTCGGCCTTGGGCCTTGGCGCGGACGTGAGTCTTGCGCGGTGTCGCACTTACCGCCTCGTCACGGCGGGCGATACGATCTCGGCGGCGGACAAAGCGACCCGGGGCGCGGCGCGCTTGGCGGCGGCTCCCCGCTCTGTGGCGGTCGTCTGACGGGCGGTCTGCCGTGGATTTGTCCGTCGGCCACGGCTGGGTAGCGGACGGGTCGGCCTCGTCCCATGACAGCCGGTCGCAGCCCAGCTATGAAACCGTGCAACGTATCTACCAATCCTGTGCCAGGCAACTGGAGGCTTCTGGGAGCCAGGCATTCCAGCGTGACGACAGACAACTAGCCGGCGACCCTGTCCTCAATCGCCAGGATTTCCTTGTACGGCAGGGCTGTGGCTGCGGTCGAGACGTCCAACCGCCGAGCTGCCGGGCCTCGGGCTTTCGTGGATGGGCCAGCTCCCAAGCTGAGACGGCGCCGTGATGACTGATGAGTGAGACACAGTCAGCCGAGTGGGGCGCGGCCTGCCAGCCTCTCGCGCGCCAGCCTCCGCCGGCGACCGGACACCCGTGATTGGATTGACGGCTGCGATCCCGGCCGGCGCGCCGCCGCCGGATCTGAGCGGCTACCGCCGGATCCCGATGAGGATAGGGCGTCGTCTGGACGCCTGGGGCGAAGTCGCTCATTGTCTGGCCGGACCCGGCTCCAACTTTGCATGCGGGCTATCTCGCAGACAGCTCCGGTTCTGGCCTGCTGTCGGGCGAGCAGGCCGCCGATCCCTCACAGGTTGCGGTGGTCACCCCTGTCGGCAGAGGGCAGGCCTGACTCACGTCGGCCACGACCTCGGTCGCTCCTCAGAGGCGCTGACCGGCTCCGCCCATGGCCGCACCTCTGCGTGCACCCGCCACCGGCGCCTTCCAGGCGGTGTGCTAGGGGACGCTTCTGGTCGGCGACAGCGCGTGCTGCGATGCCAGCGTCGCGCCGGGTCAACACCCACCGGAGGCCGGTGGGACACCTCTCCGGTTTGGCATTCCGATTTATCCGGGGTATGTACGGCACTGCGCCCAGCCGTGCCCGCCGCGTCAGCCCTGTCAGCGTCGGCTCGGAAGGCACGGCGACAGACGCGACACCCGTGGTCGCCAGCCGGCGGCAGGTCAGGGTCGCTGCCGCCGGCTGGTGGAGTGACGAGCCGTCTCAGGCCGCGGGACGCACGCGATCTGACGGTGCGGTCGGCCGAGCGGCGGGGCGGCGCCCCCGACGGGCCAGGAGAGCGCAGACGGCTCTGGCCGGCTCCGGCGCCACTCCGAGCCGGCCGCGCGCGGCGCAGATGGCGCCAGCAGCGCCGGCGGTCAGCAGGGCGGCAGAGGCGGTCCCGCTGGCCCTCCTGGCTCTCGACTGAGATCCACTCGCCGCCGACTGTCGTGACGAATCTGCCGGGTGCTGGCAAACAGTGTCCGACAGCAGGGGTGCGGCTTGTTGATTCCGCTGCCATTAGTTAGAGGACGAGCGTGCTGGCTCGTGCGAGTGCTTGCAGTGACGAGTGTGGCGCGCAGGCGGCGCGATGACGACGCGGGGTCGACTGACCGCACGCGGCCGACTCTGGCCAGTGAGCTAACCCGATGACTCACTAATGGCTCCACCCATCTGCGGAGAGTTTCCCTTGCCGTATGACTCGGTCTCCTGGCTGGCTCATCGCCCCAGTGTCGGGCGCTGACAGATGGCATGGCTGGTGCTGCTGCTGGGGGGGGGGGGGGGGGGGGGGGGGTGGGGGGGGGGGCGGGGGGGGGGGGGGGGGGGGCGCGGGGGGAGGGGGGTCGACCTGGATGAGTTGCAACGGGGGCAGTGAGTGTTTGGCGATGATCCCAGACTTGGGTTCCAAACTTGTGACGAAATCGTGCTCTGAGGTATACGTCGCCTGTTATGGCAGTTTTGTTTTTGTTTTGCTTCGCGCGCATGAATGATTTCACAGTGTTTATCAGGTCGCAGTTCAGTAAGCCGGCAAGGCGTCATACTTTAAAACGGCTTTAGCAGAGACTTGTCCACCGGCCAGTTTTCGGCGGGCTCGGCGCCAACTCTGCGCCAACTGGGATGTCGGTGCTGGGCCGATTCCGGACAACTGCGGCCTGCTCGTCAGTGGTCCAGTACCGACACTGCCGGCTGTCATCATTGGTCCAGTGCCGACACTGCCGGCTGGTCATCAGTGGTCCAGTGCCGACACTGCCGGCTGGTCATCAGTGGTCCAGTTGCCGACACTGCCGGCTGGTCATCAGTGGTCCAGTACCGACACTGCCGGCTTGTCATCAGTGGGTCCATTGGCCGATAAACTGGCCGGCTGGTCATCAGTGGTCGCATGCCGACCTGCCGACTGGTCATCAGTGGTCCCAGTACCGACACTATCGCCTGGTCATCAGTGGTCCAGTATCGACTCTGCCGCCTGGTCATCAGTGGTCCAGTACCGACGCTGCCGGCTGGTCATTGGTAGTGGTCCGGTCCCGACACTGCGGGCTGGTCATCGGTAGTGGTCCAGTATCGACTCTGCCGCCTGGTCATCAGTGGTCCAGTACCGACGCTGCCGGCTGGTCATCGGTAGTGGTCCGGTCCCGACACTTCGCCTGGTCATCGGTAGTGGTTCAGTACCGACACTTCGCCTGGTCATCGGTGGTGGTCCGGTCCCGACACTTCGCGTGGTCATCGGTAGTGGTTCAGTACCGACACTTCGCCTGGTCATCGGTAGTGGTTCAGTACCGACACTTCGCCTGGTCATCGGTAGTGGTCCGGTCCCGACACTTCGCCTGGCCATCAGTAGTGGTCCAGGTCCAACACCGCTGCTGTCGGACAGTGTCGCCCGCGCCGCCATATCTTCAGGCGTGTTGTACACTTCCTGGACCGATGGCTGGGGGGCTGCCCGGCTGTGTGCTGACCATTGCCGGCCGGTGTTTGTCAATGCGTGTGTGAGCTCGTGCATCGGTGACGATGGCGTATCAGTGTGTCACATATCGTTCGCTCACGGCCCACACAGCCCAGATCGAGCTCCGTCTGATCCGTGACGTGATGCCGCAACCAAAATGGTGGTCGATGGGCGCGTTTTTATTTGTTTCCTTCAGAATAGGGTTGTTGGCCGCGGGCTGTCACGCGCGCGGCTTTCGGCTTGCTGCTCGATAACCGCAGGTTGAAGGTTCGCGGGCGCCGCTGCAACTCAAGCACACGCTGTTGTGGCTGTGTTGCGCTGCCGAGGCCCGCCACCGGAGCGGCTGGTCCCATGTCTCCTGCGTACGATCGGGCGCCCTAGTCGGCGGGCGACCGGCCGGGCCGCCGTCACCCGTCCGCGGTCGCCGCCGCCGCCGCCGCCCGGCCGGCCGTCAGCTGGCGCCGTCAGGTGGCGCTGGCGGCGCCGGCGGCGGCCCACTTGCCGCCCGCGTCAGTCGCCGGCCGGCGCGCCCGTGCGCCGACCGCGGGGAGGAGGGAGGAGTCAGCGCTGGTCGGTTGCTCGCCGCAGGCCGAGGACGCCGGTCGCCGGTTACGGCGCGGGGAGCGGGGCAGTGAGCACCCGGGCTGAAATCGCCGTCGACTGACAGGTACCCGCTGTCGGCCGGGGCCGGCGCCGCCGCCGCCGCCGCCGCCGCCGCCGTCTTCCGCCGGTGTAAGGCGATCTGTGTGGGGCCGGGCGGCACGGCCCGGATCAGCGACCTCCTGCTGCGGTGACGGTGTCCCACGGAGACCGGGGGCGGGCGGTCCGTGCGACCCGCCCGCGGCGCTGCCGGTGTCGGTGATTCATCGCTCCTGCGCGACGGAAGTGTCTGCGAAGCGCGACAGGGGAGCTGGTGCAGCGCGGTTTCTCTCGTCCGCCTCGCCCCGCCCAGCCTCTGGCGGCTGGTACTCGGCGGCTGTGCTGATCGCCGCCGGCCGCCGCACCCGCCGCCCGCCCGTTTCCGGCCGGAGCGGCGGCGGGCGGACATATTCGGGCAGCGGTGGGCGGGCGCGCGGCGCACCCTCCGCGGCCGCGCAGCCCACCGCCTGACGCCGCGCGTTCTCGCCGAGCCGTGGGGTAGGTCGCCCGGTCGCGAAGACTCATCCGGACCGGCCTGGACCGGACCGGACCGGACGGCGCGCGCCGTCCGGTCGCCTGTCGCCGCTCAGTCGGCGTCGCGTCCGGGGCGTTGACTTACTGCGCCGCTGCACTGCGCCGGCCACTCAACAAACACCGGCGGCTGTAGCCCGGCGGCGGAGGCCTCCCGGCCGCGGCTCGGCGCGACGCCGCCGGCGCCTTTGAGGGGGCCGGCGGTGGCGGATGGCGCGCGGCCGTGCCGGCATGCTCGTGCGATAAGCGGCACGGGCTGTCGGTTGCGAGGGTGGTTGGCGCCGGCGTCCGTCCGTGCGGGGCCGGTCGGGGCGGCCGGCCGCATTCCTCGGGGCATGAGCCGGCCCTGCCCGGCGAGCGCCCCGTGCGCGGGCGGCGTCCGACAGCGGCTGGGTCTCTGCGGTGGTTGTGGCTGTTGCGTCAGACGAGGTGTGGCAGGTACTTAAGGTAAACTGGACGCTACTGTTGCCGGCCGTGGATGGGCGAGATCAGACGCAGCTATTATCTGCCGCGAAGGGTGCCGCCGGGTCTTTGGGAACGCGCCTCAGCGGCGCAGGGGGCGGCGGGCGCCGCGCGGTGGGCGTCCCGCCCTCCACTCGGCCCCGCGGAGCCGGCGGCGTGGGCGGCGGCGGCCGGGTGGAGCGGCAGACACGGTCGGGGCGGTCGGCGCCGCCGGCGGACGGGTGCTGCTGCGGCCAGCTGCGACCATTTGCGTCTGGGGAGGGGGCGGCGGTGCCACGTGCGGGAAGCCTGAGGGGCTGTCAGGGTGGAGCGAGCGCTAGGCGCGGCCGACATGACGGGAGGCGCGAGCAGCCAGCCGGCCCCAGCTGGCTGGGAATTTGCGGGCACCCGTGCGGCCCACGAGGCGCTCTGAACTCGTCCGCTGTGGCTTTTTTCGCACTGTAGGATGGTGCATGGGGAGATTCGAGGTTCGATATCGGGGCTGAACATGTGATTCAGAACCGCCCCGTCTCGCTCGTCACACCAGCCGGTTGTTGGCCGCCAAAACGACGCGCTGCCCGTGCCGCTGCCGGAGCGGGCCGCGATCCTTTTAAGGACAGCCCGGTGACCTTCTGGCAGCCGGTCAGCGCCCTCTGGGAGGTCGTGCGCCGCTCTGCAGGCCGCTGGCCGTGCCAGCTGGTGCTCACCTGGCGGCAGCGGCGCCTGGCGCTCGCGCGGCCGCCGTGTTCCGTCGGGCGCGGCGTGCGTGGGACGCCGCCGCCGCCCAGATGGTGGCCACCGGTCCCGACCGCCGGCCGCACGGCCGCCGGGAGAACGAGTACGGCGGCGGGCGCGTTGTGCCGTGTTGCGAGCGGTGTGGTGTCGGGGCTGGGCACTTGTTGCCAGTGTCGGTGGCATGTTGTCAGTGTTGGCGGGCTGTCGGTGCCGGAAATGTTGTCACGTCACGTTTGCAGCTGTCATGTGTTGTCTGTTGTCGCCGATGCTGGGTGCGCTTTCTGCGGCGTGGTGACCAGCGACCAGCAGCGCTCAACGAACGTGGGTGGTGTGACCATGGCCTGTTCCGTGATGCGCCGTTCCCAGCTTGCCCCCACCCCCGTCCGCGTCCCTCCTCCCGGTGCCAGTGTTCGCCAGACCCGTACCAGGACCAGCGGGTCGGAGGCACGCTGCCGGCTCTGCGTCGTGTCGCAGAGCCCCCGCCGCCCGCCGGCCGGCCGCCCGCCGTTCTCTGTGATCACGTCACTCGGTCGGCCGCCGGCCGCTGGCGCCTGGTCACGTGACGCGTGCGGCGCGCGCGCGCCTGACTCAGCGGCGGCCGTGCTGATGGGCGTGGCGTGTTGTGTTTCAGACGTGGTCCATACGGGTAGACCTGATCATAGGCCCCGACTCTGGGATCTCCTACACGACGGACAAGGAAGAGTCGGTGAGTGCACTGCGAGTGCATGCCCGATGTTGGCAGTGCCAGCGGTGCGGTCGCCGCCAGCGGATGTTTGTCGCTGCGGCCGCCAGGGACTTGTTCGCGAACACACGGGCCGCGGACCGGCTCCGGCACCGGAGCGCCCGCCCGGCTCAGACGATTATTGCGCTCGGTTGCCCGCGCTGCCGTCGGGCCGAAATGGGAGTGCAAACGAGCGGATTAGCGGACAGGGGCCAGGCTTGTTGTGCTGAACGCCGCTTAGGTGGAATCGATTCTGACTGGGACTCACGGTGCCGATTCCCATGCCGCCTGGATTCACGCCCGATTCTGGAGGGGACACCTGGGGGGGGGGGGGGGGGAAGCGCAGCGCGTCTGTCCCTTATCGAGGTCACCCGGTCCCTCTCCCTGCCACGTGGTGGCGCGCTGGCTCGTGCGGCCGCCGCGCATCGGCGCGTTGACCTATCGTCGCCGTGAGTCGCGGCCGCCCCTCCCCCCCCCCCCTTCGGCGTCTGACACCGGACCCGACCGACGCCAGTCAGTTGTGGTCCGCTGCGGTCAGCCGCGGCCGCCGCCGTGCCCGTCGGCCGCGGTGTTTGTATCGCCGGCGGCCACGGCTCTGTTTATCGTCGGCTGGATAACGATGCCCGGCTCCGACGAGCGACACGCCGCGGCGGGTGACGCGGGCGGGTGGGCCGGCGGAAGTCGCCGCGCCCGGCCGGCCGGCGCCGAGTGTGGCTCGCCCCGGCGCGCTGCGCGCCGCCGCGTGGGGCTGTGCCACGCGGGGCTCCGCGCCGTCCGCCCGTGTCGGTCCGACCGGTCCCGTTCGCCGGCCGCGTGGCTCTGTCGTCGCGTTCGATGGCGCGCTCCGTGCCGGCTTCCGTGTCAGCGGATGCATACTTGAGAGCCGCATCTCGTGATTGGCGTCCCTGACGCTACCCCACCCGCGCCGTCACCCGACCGTCACCTCAGCTGACCAGCCCCCCCCCCCCCGCACCGCAGGCCACGCACCTGAGCAGCTTTGATCAGGTACAGAGCATCCAGACGCTGCAGGGCGCGTGCGAGGCGTCGCCGGGCACAGCGGCGCTCCAGCTGCGCGTGGCGGGCCGCGCCGAGCCGCTCACTCTGACGTGCGCCTCGCTCCGAGAAGCCGACAACATGGCCGACCTGGTGGACGGCTACTGCCGGCTGGTGAACAACTCCTCCAGCAGCCTCTGGACCCGGAAAGGTGAGCGGTGAGGCGGGAGCGCGAGGGCGGTGGCGGTGGCGGCGGTGGTAGACCGGTGGATAGGGGAGAGGAGGGGGGGGGGGGGGGGTGCGGAGGAGGGCGCGGGGGGCTGCAGCGAGCTCGCTTCGATGGTCTCTCCCATGTGTGGGCGGAAAGCTCAATGTAAGTCATTACCAGCCTTTAACGGTGTGGGGAGGTGTATTGTTCGTGACCGCGCGCCGTGCGGTGATGGAGGTCCGGTCCGTGTTTGGTCTGGTCTGGTCTGGTCTGGTCTGGTCTAGCCCGGTCTAGTCTGCTCTGGTCTGGCTTGGTCCGGTCCGGTCTGGTCTTATCTGTTCCCGTACAGTACAGTCCGGTCCGGTTCCGGTTCCGCCCACTAACCGCGCCGTTCTCTGTCAGTGCTGCCCTGGAGACACCCCTGCGCCTGCTGTCGGCCAGGTCTGTGGCGCGCCGACCGCCCGGTCCGCCCGCCCACCCGCACGCACGCCCCGGCCCCGGCCCCGCTCCTCGGCCCGTAGAGTCGCGCCGTCAGCCCCACCCGTCCGCCTCCCCGCAGGGCCGGCCGGTGTGCCTCGCATGCTTATACTGGAGCGCAGTGTCCGGGCCCGAACGCGGTCCGGGTCGTGTGGCGGCGTGGGCCGCTGCTGTGACGGCCGGCGCGATGTCGCCGCCCGTCCCGCGCGCCTCCCCGGTGCCGTGCACGGCGGCCGGCGGTGGCCGCGCACCGTGCAGAGCTGCACCGGACCGACACACAGCCGTGTTATGGTTCCGCCCGGCCGGCGAGCACGGTGGCGGCCCGGCCGCGCGCGGGCCCGGACTCTGCTCTGCTGGGTGTGTGCCCGGCCGGCCGTCCGAACCTGCTCAGCCCCGCAGCTCGACAGGCGACCTGTGACGGAAGGGGGACGCTCTGAGTGAACGGCGGCGTGCTGCGAGCTGGACCGGCAATCGTTGCGGATGGGATGACGTCACTGGGCGGAGTGGGGCGGAGCGATGCCGCACCTTGTTTTCCCAGCAGGCACCTTGGTTTCGCACTGTAGTCCCCATCAACCCTGACTGCATCTCCGCGTGACCCGCTGGTCGCTCGCGTGCCTCCACATGGTGCCCGACAGCCCTCACCACGCTGCCGATTGGTTGGCGCTGACCTGAGCCCCTGTGGCCGGCAGCGGGCTCGAGTCGGTCGGGCCGCTCCGATGGCGCCGGCTCGCCGTCGGGCCGTCGCTCGGGCCGGCCATCGCGCTCGGCGCTCTCCGACGACTACGCCGAGATCGTCGACGACGAGGGCGACTACAGCACCGTCGGCGCGCGCGACTACGAGCTGCCGCGCGACCACGTCCACCTGGTGGAGATCATCGGTAAGAGCGCGGCGGCGGGTGGGAGCGTTGGTGTGGGCGCGGCGACGGGCGAGATCGTTGGTGAATGCGCGGCGAGGTAAAGAATCTTCGGTAAGAGCGCGGCGACGGGCGAGATCGTTGGTGAATGCGCGGTGAGGTGAAGAATTTTCGGTAAGAGCGCGGCGACGGGCGAGATCGTTGGTGAATGCGCGGTGAGGTGAAGAATTTTCGGTAAGGGTGCGGCTGAGCGAGAAGCAACGTAAAAGTGCGGTGCGGACTTCAGACTACCAGTAAGTGATCGGTGGGGTGGGACTGTTGGCAGGAGCGTGGCCCGGCGAGAGGCCGTCGGTAAGAGTGGAGGGTGAGTGCTGTGAGACGGTCACCTTGGGGAGGCGGCGGGATAACGCCGCGGTACGGGGCTGGAGCACGCCGGCGTGGGATAGGATGCACTGCCATGTGCTGCAGCTCTCCGGCCGTGCAGCGGCGGGGCTATTTCTGACTGGCGCTTGCAGTCAGATTACGTTTGATTGATTGCGGTCGACATTGATTCGTCGTGTTTTGTTTGCTTTCACTGTTGCTAGGGGATTTGGTTCGCCATCCTTTCTGCAGGCATGCACAGTGGTGACTGATCCGCGCATGCGCAGTGGTGACTGCTCGTGATGTCTGTTTTGAAGAAAAATATCTCCAAGCCATGTGCACCACCCCCGATATTTGGGGTGAAACCTCGCGGGGCTTACCAACTCCGCAAAGAGCGGGCGTTTTTGCCCTGTTGACCCGAGACCTATGGGCCTTCACCTGTGACCTATGGCGGCAGGGGAGGGCCAGTTCGGTGATGTATACCGCGGCACGTACCGGACCTCCAGCAGCCAGACCACGCCTGTCGCCATCAAAACATGCAAGGTCGACAACGAGGGCTCGATGGCGCACAAGTTCCTCGAGGAGGCCTGTGAGTATCGGTGCGCTGCCGCCGTTGGCGGCGAGGCAAGAGCGGCTGGAGAAACGCCGCTGCCAGTGCGCGACTGGGGAATTGTCCCCGTGAAACGTTGAGGGAAGCGGAGGTCTGAAGCGACTGAGTGACGTCACGGGAGTGTCTGCGTGTGTGCTGTGAGCTTCGCGAGAAGCCACATCACCGGCATTTATCTGCATTCTTTCATTTTGTCAAACACCGTCTGGCCGAAAATAAGCTGGCGGATATTAGATCGCTAGTGCTAACTTTAATCGGTGTGACGTGCGATTTCGATGCGTTAAAAGTTAGGCGCTGCCTGGGATCAGAGCGGGCTCGACGACAACATGACCACCCGCTGTTCGACGGTTCACACCAGCCGGCGCCCGCCGCTCACCCCTCTCCCTGCCTCTCCGCCCCCGACAGACACAATGCAGCAGTTCGACCACCCGCACATCATCAAGCTGGTGGGCACGTGCAGCACGTCGCCGGTGTGGATCGTGATGGAGCTGGCCCGCCACGGTGAGATGCGCGCCTACCTGCGCGACAACCGGCACCGGCTGCGGCTCGACACGCTCGTCCTGTACGCGTACCAGCTCAGCCAGGCGCTCTCCTACCTGGAGAGCAAGAAGTTTGTGCACAGGTGAGCTGGCGCTGGCGCTGGTGGGATGCAGTGTGTGGTTTTGTGGCTGGGCTCACTCTGCGATGGCTCTTGCCATCACTCTTTGCGCTGCTGGTATTTTGGGGTATTGCTAACCGTGTGAGCTCCTTTAGGCGTCTTCTTTGTCCCGTAGCGTCCGTTTTCGACGTACGTGAACATGGAGTTTGATCAGTCTTAGCAGTTTTGCGATTGAACTCGCCATGGAATTCATACATGCTATGTGGCGGTGGCGTTTGATGATGTGAGCAAGACCTAAATGGGCCACGGCCACGCGCACTACCTGCACGACTGTGGCGCCGAAGTCGTGGGGGCTTGTGTTGGTGCGCACCAGCGCGCGTCACCCACCGAGCCGCCGCCGAGTGTCGTCGTCCCCTGACGAGCGCTGCCCGCCGCCGCAGGGACATCGCGGCCCGCAACGCGCTCGTGTACAGCCACGACAACGTCAAGCTGGCCGACTTCGGCCTCAGCCGCTGGGTGGAGGACCAGAGCTACTACAAGGCGTCCAAGTGCAAGCTGCCCATTAAGTGGATGGCGCCCGAGTCCATCAACTTCCGCCGCTTCACCACCGCCAGCGACGTCTGGATGTTCGGTGAGACGACGCGGCTCGCCGGTCGGGCGGGATGTCTGGACGGGCGGGCGGCGTCGGCCGGCGCCGGCGGTCGGGCTTGTTCGAACGAGTCGCCGTCCGGCCATTCGGGAATGGTTGACGGCCTGTCGCTGTCGCGATGCCGGTGGTCCGTGTCACCTGGTCGTGTCGGCGTTGTTCTCTGCGTGCTGACGGCGGCTGCAGCAGCCGGGGCGTTGCGTGCGCGTTGGCGGCGTTCACGTTAATGGAGAGACAAGACACGAACGGCGGATGGACGGTTGGCTTGCGTGAAGACGGCGTTTTGCGTCCCGTATCCTGGCGTCGGTATGAATTTGGCAGGGCATACTGACCCATGCTGTCTGTCCCGATGCCAGCACGTGTACAGTTCTGACGCCGTTCCCTCCGCGCTCCGACGGCCGCCCGCTCCCATGGGGGACGCGCCGGGCCGCCCGGGACGCCGCTCCTCCGTGCGCGCGGCGCACCTGTGACGCGGCGCCTCCTCCACTCCACAGGCGTCTGCATGTGGGAGATCCTGACGCTGGGCGTGCAGAAGCCGTTCCAGGGCGTGCCCAACAGCGAGGTGGTGGGCAAGATCGAGGCGGGCGAGCGGCTGCCTCTGCCGGCGCGGTGTCCGCCGCGCGTCTACTCGCTGATGCTCGGCTGCTGGCACTACGAGCCGGCCAAGCGGCCCAGCTTCGCCACGCTCAAGCAGGCGCTCCAGTGAGTGGCCGCCGGCCGCCACGGCGGGATGGGGCATCGGCTCTGGTCGGCTGGTTTTTGTTGCGAGCGGCGCCAGATTGGCACCAGGAGGCTCTGCGTGCCACTATCGCTGTCAGTGATGATGAGTTTTTGTTATTTTTTGTGCGGGTTCTTGCTGTCGCCTTAACTGATGTGGTGGCACGCGCGAACCTGTCAGTGCCGGCGCAACGCTATCAGCGGCATTGGCGTGAAGTGACTCCGCCGACAGCGTGGCGGCACCACTTCGATCGCCGCGACGTCTGGTGGTGCGCTGATTTCCTGCTGATCTGTGTGGGAGAGAGGGGGGGAAGCGGGGCGTGCCCAGGGTTTTGTCCGCACACGAGTGCGGCCACGACTGCAGTGCCCGGACAACTCTGCTTGGTCCCGGATGGAGTGGTCGTATCTAGCCCGTCGTCGCGTTCTGCCGTGTCGCGATCTTTAGCGGGGTCGCGTCGGCGACGGTCGCCGTCCCGCGTCGGCTGTTGACGGCTGCGGGCGTCGTTGCAGTGAGATCCTGCTGGAGGAGCGGATCGCCCAAGAGGAGACGATGCGCAGGGAGAACCGGCGCGTGCAGGCCATGTCCTGGGGTGAGTGGCCCGCCTTCCGCTTGGGGGGGGGGGGGGGGGACGTCAGTTGCTCTGATGCTGGGACGTTACGGATTTCGGTTTGGAACGCTCCCGGAGACGGCTGTTCTGTGCTCGGAGACGAAGTGTTGGTGTGTGGAAACCTTCGCTCCGTTGTCTGATGGCGTGGAATGACCAGCATTTACATCTTGTGCGTCGGCGACGACCGTGAGACGTGGGCTCTGGCCAGCCTACGTGCCGTGGAGTAGTGGTGGCTAACCCTGCGTCCGTTGGCGGCAGGCTCCAACGACTCTGACGAGCCGCCGCCGCCGCCGAAGCCGTCGCGCCAGCCGGCGCCGGAGCGGGCCGCCTCGCCGTCGGCGCCGCTGCAGACCTACATCGTGGCGCAGAGCCCCGAGGTGCTGGCACGCCTGATGCGCGACAACGAGACGCGCGCCCACGCCGGCAGCTACACGGCGCCGGCGTCCGCACTCAACACGGTCAGCGTGGAGCTGCAGCCGGCCGGCTCCGCCCCGTCCTCGCCCCGCGCCCGCCCCCCGGGCGGCTCCCTGGCGCGGCGCTGCCCGGCCGCCGCCGCCGCCGCAGCCGCGGCCGCCCCCGCCGCGTCCGCCTCCGGCGCTGGCAGCCACTCGCTGCCGCGCAACTTCCCGACGGCGCCCCGCTCGCCCAGGCCGGCCGGCCCGTCGCCAGGTTTGGTGCAGCTCCGATCTCAGCACTGCACCGGCCGCGCGCGCGCGCCGCCGGCGCCGGCCGGCGGCGCCTGACCGGCCGGCCGGCCGGCGCCCGGCGCACGCCGCACGCCGCACGAGTGGCGTGGTTTGGTTTTCGGCACGACGGCACGTCCTCACTCCTCTCCCCGGTCGCCGCCCGCCTTCCCGCCTGTCGCCGCCTCGTCCTCTGTCTGTTCAGTTGCGGGCTGTTTGGTCACGCTGAAAGGCCGCGTTTCGCTGCGGTAGCGCTCGGCAGCCTCGCGTTGGCCGCGAAGGTAGCGTTAGCGCGTAGCGCTGCTGGGAGTAGCGCTGTCTAGTTTCGCTGCCGCAGTCGCGGCGCCGGCACTATTCGCAGCACGTTGTTTTGGTGTATTCAGTTGGCACTGCATGGCTCGGGTTCAGTTTGCATCGCGCGTTGTCGCCCTCTCGGTAGTGTGTGCTGAGCAGAAGGATTGCAGTCCCGGTAGTTTTGCGGCGAGCCAGAAGTGAGGCTTACGCACCGCTTGGCACACCGGTGCTCGCGGTCTGAAGATCATCTCGGTAAGCATCGAAGTTCGCGCCTCCCAAGCGGCTGCGAACCGGGCGCCGGTCGGCCGATGCCCGCTGACGTCCGCTGTGTGGTCGGCAGAAGCCGCCGCTGCCTCCTGAGGAGCTGGAGCGACGGCTGGAGCTGGAGCAGAGCGAGCTGCGCGAGCGGCTGGAGCGGCAGCAGCGCCAGATGGCCGAGGACCGGCTCTGGCTCAACAGCGAGGAGAACGAACTGGTACGTGCGCCGCGCCACCGTCAGCAGACGGGCGGCGTTGGGGAGTCGGCGCCGGTCGGGGGCATGCGGCGCGCCGTCCAGCGGCGGACGACGGGCCGGTGGACGCGGCGGGGGCTGCGCTGACTGGGGGCCGCGGCCCGGTGGAGCCTCCCTGCCCGATGCTTCACGTGCTTTGTGCGCTCGTGGGCGGCCCAGGCGAGCGCCGGCCGCCGCCGGCCGACCGCAGCGGTCTACAGGCGCCGGTGGCCGCGCGACCGAGCGGCGTGCGGCCGCGGCGCCGGGCGGTCACCGGTCGGCCAGCGCCCGTCCGTGCGGAACGGCCCGGCCGGGGTGGAGGTTCGTAAAGCAAAGCCACAGCTCTGCGCGCTTCACATACCGTACATGACTCGTTTGCATCGTTGCGTACTATTAATGAATGACGTGCTTTTGGAAAGCTGGATAGTTTTACGGTGCGATTTGAATGTGCGGAGGTTCGCAGTCCTGCTCATGCAACCAGAGTCTGTTTGCGTGGGTGGAACTACGAACTTATGCATTTGTCAACTGCGTCGTGTGAGCAGGAAACGGGAGCAGGGGCGAGCACGAAGCAAGCCTATTTTACTTGGTGGGTCGATTTTGGAGTTATTGATGGCTGTCGGTCAGACTGAGACAGATATGGAGGTGGTCTATGAGCCCAAATAACGCGGCTCAAAGTGCGTGGACTCGCACTCTCGCTTCATGAAACCAGGCCCAAGCCCACATCGCTGCGAACGGAGTTTTGCTGCCAGCGCCGCCCTGTAGCTTGTCGCGCTCCCTGTCGTCGAGACGATCCCTCGGCGCCGACGTCCTGCCCCTGGCTGTCCGGTAAGTGTGCCGCGCGCCGCGCTTTCCCGCGCCTGCGCCTGCCCGCGCCGCCTGCGCCTGCGCCTGCGCCTGAGCGGCCACGCCTGCCTGCCTGCAGCGCCAGCGGCTCTCGCTGGCCACGTCTTCAGACCGCTCCGACACGGAGTCGGTGGAGGGCGGCGGAGGCGGCGGCGGCGGAGGCGGCGCGCGCGGCGTCTCGCCCTGCCACTCGTCCACAGAGCCGGCCACCGACGGCTCCAAGCCCTCCTCCAACAGCAGCTCCACAGAGCGGCCCATCGTCGTCAAGGTGGGCGACACGCGCTTCGCTGGCGGGAGGGGGCTCGTGCTCGCCTGAGGAGGGGCGGGGCGGCGAGCTGAACTCCCCGGTGCCGTCTGGTGCGTGGCTCGTTGTCTAATGATGTGACGTGTTGTTTGTTGATGATGATCTGATGCTTGTTTGATTGTCAGCCGTGTGAGCGGGAAGACGGATGTCGCCCGGCTTGTGCTAACGACGGTGGGAACCTGACCTCGCCTCGAGTCCTCATGTGTTGCCAGCGGTGGAGAGCGGTAGCCAGATCTGTGTTCATATAGCCACCGGAGAGTGTCGGTCATTCCGACCCGCCCTGATCATTGGTCCGGCTTTAACGGCCATTGGTCGGTGTCCCGACCTAAGCCAGCTTGCCGAGCTTCTACCGTCAGCGGTCTGCGACTTGTCCCGCCTCCCTCGCCCTCTGTCGGCGTACGTCGTTCGCCTGCCGGCGTGCCTGCACGCCTCGCTGAGCGCGGCCGCCTGACGTGACCTGACCTCTGATCCGGCCGCTCCGCCAGCGTATGGAGGTGACGCCGACGGCCGAGCTGGACCGCAGCCGGGACCGGGTGTACGACTGCACGACGGCCGTGGTGCGCGCCGTGATGGGCCTCTCGCGCGGCGTCCAGGCCGGCCAGGCCGCCCGCTACCTGGACCTGGTCAAGGCCGTCGGCTATGAGCTGCGCGAGCTACTGGCCGCCGTCGACAAGGAGGTGGCGGCCTTCCCGCCGGCGGCGCACAGAGAGGTGGGGCGGCCTGGAGAGGGTAGGGGCGTGATGTGTGTCGGCCGGTGTTTGTGGTCTGGCGTGTGATGAGGAGGAGGGAGGGTGGGGGGGGGGGGGGGGGGGGGGGGGGCGCAGATACCAGTGCGCAGGGATGTCGGGAGGAGAGGAGCGCGTTCGGCGGGCTCCGCGAGCTGGTGAATGTCGGAGGCGAGCGCCACTGCCGTTGGCTGAGAGGGTGGTGGCGTGTGGTGACGCACGCGTGGCGTCAGCGGAGGACGCCGCTGGTCGGTGGCCGGGCCCGCTGAGCCCAGTGCCGCGGGCTGGTGGGAGCTGAGTGTGGCCCTGGGGCTTGGTCCACCTGGCTGGTTCTCCAAGCTGCGGAATTCATTTCGTTTCGCTGCCTCTCGGTATGAACGCTTTGCTGATCCTCTTGCTCCCTCGTGTAGTACTCAACGCTTAACTCTGACGCGGAGACCAAGCGCGCTGGTTGGAGACGTTCACGCCGAAAGTAGTAGATAGTCGAGAAGAGTCGCAGATCAGGTGTGAAGGGGGTACGGGCAGCACACTGTGTTACCTGTTACCTGTCACTCGTGTGACGCCTGCTGCGCTCGGCTCAGATCGAGATGGCGCACAAGGTGCTGGGGAAGGACATGCAGGACTTGGTGACGTCCATGAAGCAGGCGCAGCGCTACAGCACCACCACCCTGGACGAGGAGTACAGGAAGTAAGCCACGGCCAGCGGAGGTCCTCGGACGCGCATGCCCGTCTCTCGCCGCCGATCACCGCTTGACCCGAGGGCGGTGATCGGCGGAGGTCACGGGTCGTTCTATGTGGACCGGTGTTATGACTGTTGGCGTTGTTACTCGCAACGTTGGTCTTGCTTATTGTGCGCCTCGTGCTAGACGGAAGTCGGCAGCCGGCAGCTCGTGTTGCGCTTCGCAACTGCTGCCATATCGCGCTGGTTCAAAATTGGCATTGAAGTGCTGCCGTAATTGGCAGAACCAGTACAAGGTTCGCTGTCAGCTTTGCTGGAGTGAAGTCCAAACCCGATATGCGGTGTCTGCTGTCCTGTGGCAAGGACCCAGCGGCATCCTCAGTCAGCCACCATGCCACTATTCAGTCAGCCACCATGCCACATGTCAGTCAGCCACCATGTCACATGTCAGTCACCGGTCGCCATGGCTGCCGCTGACCAGCATCATGACTTCCGACTGAACGTGGACTGCCTGCTTGGTAGCGCGCTTGCTCTACAGCTAGCAGTCTTCGAACGGAGAGCGCGAAGCTCGGCACCAGCCGTGCCGGGGTTTCGCGTGTCGATGCTGCCGTCATGTTCCGCGACGACGAGCGCCATGGTTGTGGTGGGGTCGGAAGACGAACCGGACAAGTGCCATCCCAACCGGCGGCCGCTGACCGCCGTCCCGCCCCCCGTCCGCAGGCAGATGCTGCAGTCGGCGCACGTGCTGGCCGTCGACGCCAAGAACCTGCTGGACGTGGTGGACGCGGTGCGCATCCGCTCTGCAGTGGCGCCCCCGGCGGCGGCTCGCCGCAACAACCCGGTGCGCGCCGGCAGCTGAACGGCCGGCGCGCGGCCGCCGCCCCTCTAGTCAGGCACCGGCCGGGGCGCCACATTCCGGCGCCGGCGCCACGCGAGCGCGCGCGCCGCCGCCGCCGCGCGCCCCTAATCATTCCATAGAGCTAGCGCGGTGTGGCGTGCGGTGTGTGCTTCGATTGTCGGCTGTCTCATATGTCTCGGTGCCGCGCGGTTGGCGTACCCCGATCTTAACATTACACATGCGTTGAATATATGGCTCATACGTCGGCGGCTGTGTTTTGCTGGGAGCAGAGGTCTGTACGGAACGGGACGGAGCAACTCGCCGGTGTTTCGCGAGCTTGGGATGCGCGGTGTGGAAATAGGACGTGTCGAGAACATTAAGCGAGATGGGCATCGCTCAGACTTGCCGTTGCCGTTCACACGTTAGGTAAGCACAGGACAAGTTGTACAAGAACCCTGATAGTTAACCTTTCGGCTGCGTCAAAGTTTCGGTCAGGGCCGATTTTTGATACCACTGCCCCACGACCCTGGCAGGCCTCTGCAGCCACACTACAGGGGCCCGGCGACCGCCAGGCTTCAGCCGCCAGAGCCAGTTGACCGTAACCGCCCCAGTCCCCCTCCCCCGTTAACCACAAACCTGGGGGAGCGAGCGCCGTGCCGCTCTGTCCCGTCCCTGCCGGCCCCGCCGCCCGGGGGCCGTGCGTGTGCGGGCCGCATGAGCCCGTCGGCCGCGTCGCCCGTCGGCCGCGTCGCCCCCCGTCCGCCGTTTATCGACCACACACGTCGCGGCGCTGCGTCGGAACGCGGCCCGTGCTCGCGCGTGGCGGGGCGAGGCAGTGTCCGGAAGCGGGGCTGGCTGGCGGTCTGGCGGCGAATCGACACCGGCTCCGGCCATGAGTCCGCCGGGGGTCACCACGGAGACGCTCAGCGCCCTCCGGCGAGCGGGGCGGGTGTGAGTGAGGAGCGAGCTGCCGTCGTCCGCCGCCGCGTCCAGCCGCCGCCGTCCAGTCAGCGAGCTGGTGCTCGCGGAGAGCGGACGGCCTGTCGGCGCGACCCCGCTCCCAGCCGCGCACGCTCCCACTCCTGCCACGCCTCCGAAGCGTCGTGGTTCGTCTCCTCACGATGGCGGAGCTGCAGCACAAGCCGACGGCGCGGTACCGCGTGGCTGACTGGCACCGGCACAACGCGCAGCTGGGGGAGACGACGCGCGCCGAGGTGGACACCAGCCTGGAGCTACGGCAGCGGGCCGGCCGCGCCGCCAACGAGGCCGCCATCCGCACCGTCTGGGAGCAGCATCAGAACAGCGGCCTGCTGAGGGACAGGTGGGTCGGCGGTGGGGCCCGATCAGAGGTGTGCTGGGGTGTGAGGCGGGGCCTGCTCAGTTGTGGACGGGTCTGCACTCGGGCAGGAGCTCGCTCAGGGACAGGTGCGGCTTCGGTCCTGAAGGGACGTGTCCTCTCAGTGAGAGCTTTGTTGTCACAAGAATGGTGGTACCTGGAGAAACGCATGTGCCTTCAGCAGGGCGATAGCTTTCTCAATCGTGTTATCTTGCATTCTCACGATCATGCCCGTCGGAAGTCGTCTTGGGCGCCAAATGACCAAGTGTAGTCGGTGCGCCTGAAAACCCCAAATCGCCATCAGCTTATCTGGAGGAGCTTTAGCATGCCGTTAAGCTACATTATTCAGGCCTTCGATGCATGTTCAGGATACACACCGCGAGTGTGTTGTGTTCGGGTTCCACGGCACGTTGGCGTTTAATCACACTCAGAACTGTGAATGTAATTACTCTGATGTGATTACTTGTGTTATAGGCGTTATACCTCTGTAACACATCCGAGCGTTGGTAACAGGACCAGCCATGTCGCCCCAGACTGAGCCAGGTGGAGCAGTGGAAGGTGCAGCTGGAACAAGCGGTGGCCGCCGTTGACGCCGAGGTGGCAGCACTGTCCCGCGCCAAAACCGTCACCGAGGACGAGCGGGAGGCGCGCCACTTTGACCTGGAGACGGCGCAGGAGGCGCTGGCTCAGCGCGAGGGTCGGCTGCGCCAGGATGTGGTGCGGGACGACGTGGAGGAGGCCTTGAAACAGGTACGGGAAGGTGGGGCGTCTGGCGAAGTGGAATGTTCCGTTTCGGGAGCGTAAATGACCAGCATTGAGGTGCGAACAGCAGTTGTAGCAATAGAAGCAATAGTAAGCTCACCAGGATTCTTAGGATTGCAGTTCGCGCCGTCGGCCCAGAAGTAGAACGTTACTGGTACCTGCAGAAGGCATGAGAGAAAAGAACAGATTCCATTGTGATTTCCGTAGCTACGCTTCTTTCGTGCTGTTGCAGTCAAATAGCCTGCATTGCTAAACCACACATCCCGGCTGCCTGTCCGTCGTCAGGAGATCCTCGCCGTCACGGGCTTCCGCGACCAGCTGCGGGAGCGTTGCGAGCAGTGCTTCGAGCAGCTGTGTCGGCTGTCGGAGGCGCGCCAGGCTCTGCTGGACGACATCGCCGGCAAGCAGGGGGCGCTGCACGTGGACTCGGCCGCGCTGGCACTGACGCCGCACAGCCCCGGCGTCAGCTTCAAGCCACACTGCTCCCGCGTGCCGAAAGAGTAAGGATGGGACCCCGGGGCATGCTTTCGCAAACTGAGTTAGGGCGGGGGGGGGGGGGGGGGTTAGCGCAGTGAAAATGACGTAAGCCACCTCGCATTACGCCATCAAACGGTTTCCTCTCCGACTTTGGTCCTCCTCCTTCGCAAAAATTTAGGGTGAGCTACAAATCAAATCTGGGGGTCGGAGCCCCCCTCCCCCCCTCCCAACTGAATTGGCAACCACACCTCTGATAGGACTGGACGCCCATCGACGGTGACGGTGTCTGGGTTGCGGAGATTGATGAGTCTGGCGTGTGGCTGTGGAGGACGGCGGAGCGTAGCTGTGGGGCGCTCGCCCTCGACCTTCTGCCGAGTCGTCGGTTTGGGCCTGGCGGGAGGTCTAGTGTTCCGACGTCCTCCCCTACCATCGCCTTGGGAGACCGCGACACTGAATGGCCAGAAAAGCACTACAATACGTCGTAAAATGCAACTACAAATAACTCAATAAAAGTACTCCAGATAAATCAATAAAAGTTCGGCCATTTTCCAGTTATAAGGCGCAAGCTTGACCGTGGGCACGAACGCTGTTGGTGTGTAATGTGGCAATATTTTTTGGTTTTTTGTTTTGTTTTTTTGTTACCTCCTCAAGGATGGGTAGAAGACCGGCATATTTTGATCATGGTTCGGCTTGGTGCGAGACTTGTCACAGTGCCTCCATTGGTGTGTCGTCACCGCCGCTCGAAGGCAAATGGCGGTGTTTACAAATGTTAAGAACCACCGAGCACACAGGGTGCGGCGCGACTGTCGCCAGCACGCTGACGGTGCCCCGCTGGGAGGACGCATCGCGCGCCAGTCTGGCCGCCGCCGACCACCAGCTGCAGCAGTCCCGCCAACTGCGGGCCGCCGCCGTCGACACAGCCGCCCGCGGCAGAACCGAGCTGGCTTCACGACACGCCACCGTCCAGTTCGCGGCCCGCCGGCGGCTGCACGAGCTCCGTCAGGCGCACGACGACCTGGCCTGGCAGCACAAACAGGTGTGGGGGGGGGGGGGAGCGTGCCGTAACAGGGGTTAGCAAGCAGTTGAGATTTTGGACTGTGTTTCAACATACGCTGTTTTTCTCAGCTTCAGGTTCTTTTAACGGGTAATAGGTAAGTGTGGGGGGGGAGCTCTTAAAGCTTCTGCAGCTCTGTGACCTGCACACGTGCGCTTTTGCGTGTTGCGAGTGTTGGCGCCCCTGCATAGCACGTGTAGGACGTCGTTTCTGACACGTCATCACTTTACCTGGAAGCGGTGCTCAGAAGAGCCGTTTGCGTAATTGCAGCGTGTAGTGTCAACACAACCGAGCACGGTATCGAAATGCTTGGGCACTTGCCATTAAAAGTGAGCTTGTTGAACGATGCGTCATCCAAGCTTCACACGCAGCACCGCAATAGGTTTGAGTTGGAGATGACGCTTGCGCGCGTTTTTCGCCGCCTCGATCTCGAGCCCGGAAGGCGTCGGCCTGTTTCAGCGGAGCGGGGGATAGCGTCCAGTGTCTGCTGACCAGCCCACCCTGCCGTACCCAGGTGGAGCAAGAGATGGCGGAGACGGAGCGGGAGATCCGCTGCCTGGAGGCGGCCGTCCGCGACAAGGACCCTTACCGGAAGTTGGCCGAGACGCGCCTCGAGTGGCGCATGGAGCGCCCCGCCGGCGAGGGCGTGTTCGACCCGCCTTGGAGCGGGCTGCGCGCCGAGGCCACCAATGTACAGGTGGGACACCCATGTAACGTGGGGATTGGGAGGCCTTAGACCTTCCACAGCCATGGACGTAAGAGACCCAGGAGTACATTCGATCCTTTCTGCATCCTTGTTTTTCACCCAGGGAGGGTAGTCAGACCAGGCAGGCGAGAACAGTTACCGAGATTCGGCAGCCAAAGTTCGAGCTCTGATCCCCAGCCTTAGGCTCGTGGGGTGTTCTGGGCGGCAGTGTTTGACCCCCTGTATCGCAGCAGACTTGGGGCGCGAGCTATGCGCCCATAAACCCTGAATATCATCAGTTCGTTACGTCGGCGACGGGAGGGACGTCTACCGGGCTGAACCGTCCTCGGCTATGGGTCACGTCATCACACGCTTTGCGACAAGCAGTCGCCGCGCCACTAAGCACATGCACACATACACCCCTCGGCGGGCTAAACAGTGGTGGTTCGGGGTCTGTCGAGTGCCCGCGTCAGGTCACCAGACCAGCACACTGACCGCCGTGACGTCATCACACGCCGCCACCGCCGCCGCAGGAGACGCAGTCGGACCTCGCGCAGCAGCTGAGCCAGCTGTGGGCGGCGCGGCACCGGCTGCGCGCGCACCTAGCACGCCTCGACGACAGCCTGCAGGTCAAGGCCACCTCCCTGCGGGTGGAGCGGCTCTGCGCCGACACGCACACCCGCAGCCGCCCGCCGCCGCTGCCCGGCGACCGCTCGCACCTGGATAAGGTGGGGACGGGCCAGGCGCAGGCTACGGCAGGAGGCGAACCATGAGCTAGGCGCCAGGACGAGTGACGTCATATGTACACTTAACTGCTTCCCAATAACATTTGTATTCAAGCAGGTTGAAACACTGCGGTGCAATGCGTCAACGGAAACGAAGAGCATGACATTAGTGAATCAAGCGAGCAATGAATTGGTCACTGGGCCACGTGCTTATTTCACAAACACGGGTGATAGCTCGCATTTTACATTTTACGATTTGGCACGCTTCCGATAAAATGCGCATGTGACTAAGTGTCGCATGCCAACAGGTGCTGCTGCTGCGACCCAACGGCAACATCTGTGACCGGACCTCCAGCCACCAGACCTGTCACGACGCCGTCCCCGGCCATCTGACGTCTCACGACTGCACTTACAGCTGCTCCTGTAGGCCTGTAGACCAGTGACGTCATTCGCAGGCGCCTGCGACACCCAGGACGCGATCCATTGGCGCTGCTCCGCGAGTCCTTGGCTCCAGTGACGTCAGTACTGGCCCCACGGCCTGGCGGGACATTTGGGGCCGATAACATCCGCGGTAACTGGACACCGGTCACACACGATCGCAGTCGAGGCCGAAACAGTCACACAAATCGTGTGAGTCGTGTCTGTGAGAATGTCGGCACGTCAAGATGTCATATTTAGCACTGCCTCCACACCTGGTCGGTATGGTATGCATGCCCTTATATCGCCTGCACTTCCAGCGTGAGCACGAGAGACAGATGAAGCGGACAAAAAATGTAGTTGCACAGATGAAATAAGCGTGGACGTACAGCCCCCTCATAGAAATACGATGCGTACGTGGCGTGTACGCGAATGTCCGTGCTTTGTTCCACTGCGACGAGTCCTGGGTGCCGAACTTCACAGCGGCAAGTGCAATAAAGCGGCAAGCACGGGGCCAGTCACCGAACCAATGAGAAGCGTGTGGGGCTACCGCGGCATTAAGCTCGCAGTCTCAATTCCTGTGTGTCAAGGGTGGCTGCATCCCTTTGGTGGATTCCGTTTAGCTGCTTAATACAGTCGCATTCGCGTTGCACACGTTGGGAGTCGAAGTAATGACGGTCGCGTTCGACAAGGTGAGCGTGCGGTACGTGTTGTTTGTCGTTCGGATGCGTCAATGTTGCATGTTTGTCAGGCATATACTACTGCGTGTTATGTAGGAGATAGCTCAATTTGACGTTATGCCGGTATTTGCATACATACATGTCGAACTGTGCCTCAATGTGAAGGTCACTTGCCATATTACCACTGCCACTTTAAAATTGGCTGTCCCTACGAAGTTCCCTGCTGTTCGCAGTTAGTGACAAGCCGTGCCAATGCATCTGCGCTTTGTCCAAAACCCAACGTGGTTGTCTGCGTCAATTCGTACTGCCAACGGATGCCTATCATGTCGCCCACTCTACGTGAAGTAAATACAACTAATCCATACCATGTCTGCGTTTACCCGTTCCAGGCAAGTATGCGGCCGCTTCGCCTGATGAGTTTCGTGTTATTCACACGTATTGCTGTGGTGCCAAACACACCGCAAACGTTACGTCGAGGAAGGCTTCATAATTTGTCCACGTACCTGGACTGGCAAAACCTGCTGGCTGCAGCGAGTTCCACCGCAGAAGGTGCACTGTTCGTGGGTCACCGCATTTGACATTCAGACTGGACCTTTGTCTATGCACACCGCACGGCCAGAACCGCCGCGAAGTCATTGCATGCTTTTATAAGTGTAGGGTGTCAGAGAACACCTGCGTGAAAGCCAGCGAATGTTTGCGTAGTGTGGCGAGCGCCGCTTAGAGGGTCTAGCGTTCCCCTCCTCCTGCCCTTGGCGCCTCGTGCGAGGGACGAGGTCGCGGGGGTCAGGAGACAGTAACAAGGAGAAGACTTCGAGAGTCGCCGGCGCGAGGGTGGACGTGCCGGCGGGACGGGCTGTGGGGAGTGCTTGTGACGAATGCCAAATACAGAAGTGACTTTGGACGTACCGTGTGTGTCGGTGAGCCGCAGGCGAGACACCAGAACAGCAGAACTTACATAAGGACGCCCAACGGCAGATACTGTGCGGACATGAGGGACAATACTATTCTACAGTCAGATGGCGACTGCTCCGCGGGTCGACCCACCACGTCATTATCATTATCTCTAGATACGGAAACGGTAAACTGCACCTAAGACCTCTCTTGAATCGTCTATAAACTCATGCAACCTATTAACGTGGGTAAAATGCCCGCCGGGCAAGTTGGAACGACGACAGCGCACCAAATCAGCACTTCGCAGGTTTATTGGCATACGTAGCTAAAATACTGAGATCAATCAACACAACCCCACTGTGATAACTGAAACCTATGTTATCATAGGGCTATGAATCCTATAACACTTATCCCACCACTCACGGCTCACGATTCATGGCGGACCGGCCGCAAGGCCTTCGGCAGTAGGAGCGTTAATGTAGGTGCTGTCACCCGAATCATTGTTCCCATGTTTGCTCGGAGTGTTTCATCTCAACAAAAATATACAGGGAGAAGGAGGATGGCTTTGCTGCGTGGTGTGCTATGTTTTCGTTTCATGAAAGGGATTCAGCGTTGTCGGACCGCTTTATTCGTGGCGCAGATAAAATGGAAAATATATGGTAGCAAATGTTGGGTCGAAAACGGCGTAGCAGTGACAAGCTTCGTATATGTTTAGCATCCGTGTGTTATGTCACCGAGGTTGATTGCGTGAGATGTATGTGCGATACATGGGAACATAAATATAACGACATCTATAAACACCCATGGTGAGCCATGGGTGTTTTGTGCGCGAGAAGAAGTGCGGATTTTCATGTGTGTAGCATAGTACATCACACTGGCGAACGTTTGTGCTGGGAGGGGGCAATTATAGGCTGTGTTATGTAAACAATTCATCCGTTCGTTCGAACTCATCGTTTGGTGTGAAATACTGCCCGCTGCGGCTAAGGCTTTTTACTTCAGGTAACCATGACAGTTGTCTTTTGCACTCAATTCTGGAAGGTTCAACAATTTGGAAGGATGGGTAGCAGTTTGCAACTCCAGAAAATGTTAGTACACTTGATTTATGAGGGACTGTGAAAGCTGGCTGAAATGTCATCCCAGATCATTACAGATTTGTGATTTTTGTTCAGAAAAGTGGCTTTTGCCCTTGATAACCTGTAAGGCAAAAGTGTAGCATTTATTGCATTGCTGTGATCATCAGTGAGAGAACTTAACCTTAAGTTTTTTAAAGATTTGATCTGAACCTTTTGGATAGATGGATTTCTGGAATCAGAGCTCACACAAAGTAGTTCTGGTTGTGTGAGCCTGATCCCTACCATCTGATTGCACAATTCTAGGCAACCACAGACTTAAGTGGTGAGAGTTTAGCGTGCTGCAACGCTCAGCAGGGTCTGTCCTTACCTCTTAACACCAACTGCCCTGAAGTGCAATGCTGTCACTGGCTGCAGATGATATTCATCAGAGGCAAATAGGAGTGCCTAAAGCTACTCTTACCAACCCCACCACCAGTGGATGGATGGAAAGGCAGGTGATCTAACCAACTGAGCCATCCAGACAGGCAATCAAGTTGGTGACAATGAAGTATACTCCTCCATACCTAGTAAATGGACAAAAGTGTAAAAAGGAGCAATGCCCATGTGAACTACAGGTTTCATTGTTGTATGTTGCAAGTAAGTTTAATGTTGCCAAGGTAATGACAAGAAACAACATTTCTAAAATTTTCCAGCATACAGCAACATCCTCTTAAAATTTTTACATAACAATTATGTGAAAATCCAGTGCAATTTTATCTGGTTAGAGTTTGTTGGATGCATGCTTGAGGTTCAGTGCACCAGCATGATATGTCTGGTACAGTGGATGAATTTTTGCAGTAGGCATTGCAGACATGTGGATGCAAGCTCTTTGCTCTGATTTCATTCACATACTGAGGTCTGAACAAAATATTACCCCCCCCCCCCCCCCCCCCCATTTCATTAACATTGGGTCATGTATACCACCTGCACATCACACACAGCTCAATTCTTTTGTGCAGTTTCCTGATCACATGATATATATATATATATATATATATATATATATATATATATATAATCTTACCATAGTATTTTATATTACTTTGGCTATTTATGTCACTTACTACAAAATTGAGCAATTGCAAATCATCAGTTTCCTGGCAATTGGATCATCAGGCTCCCCCAAACCCATTCAGCCAATTTTCAAGCTGCAGGACTTCAAGTCCACAATCAGAGCACCAGTGTATCTCTGCCTAATGTACTCCAAGGAAATGTCATCTCTGTTT